TGACACCCCCTAGCACTAGTCTCAATGCAGACAAGGTCCTGGACCATCTCCGATGCAGTCCGGTTATAATCTCGACGCGGCGATTTATGGCCGTTTCACAGTGGAGTGATCGGGTGTACCATGACTTGCGTCTTCTTCTTTCATCTTCCTGTAATATATTGCCTGTCAGCTAGGTCAGACACTTAACGGTCGTGCCCCCCAACTCCATGTGCGAAATAGATAATATCTCAACCATCGGCCAGAAACTACTGACGACAGCCACCGATCGGAAGCAGCACGAGACGGTTCATCAAGGTTGGCATGTCACTAATGATCAACAAGAACATTATAGTGGTTGCAGTTATCAGCACTATTCATCAAAACCGGGTTGTTTTAACCGGAGGTAACTTGGGCGCAGCTTTTGATGCCCTTCGAAAACTGACAACCGGGCCGTAAATGAATCAAGCACAACTCCCGGTGAAAGCAGATCAGAGAGTTCACACTGAACACAGGGGTGTTCTCTGACTGGGCCGGGCGGAAAATCCATTGGATTGGATTTCCGCTGGCTTTTATCCTCTGGACCATGTTTCCACCAGCCATAGTCGAGGCACGAACCGCAAAATGAGTTCCGTCGGACCAGATCAGCGGGGAGTATGCTTAGTAGGACAACACAAGAGCCAGTATGCTGTTGCAGCCCATGCACTTTCTGAGTCCTAATTGATCCGTTTCTGGGGCTATCGTAAAGGGACTTTCGAGACAAATGGCGGTCGGCGAGTAGCCAGGCGGAACTCACGAGGCGTGGCGTAAACGTGCACGATCATAGGCAGTGCCAAGTCACTATCTATTGCTGTCTCGATGCTTTTGTACGATGCTTAAAGCTTCGTGTCAAGCGGGGACGCGGTGACAGGTCAGAAAGGAGGCACGGGATCGGCGAGAAGTCAAGTCGCGCTCGCGGGATACCTAGTAGTTTCGGCGCCATCGTGGCTTGAGAGGCGTTGATTTGACGGAACGGTCACAGGAGCATTGATTGGTGGAGTTCAGTGGACAATGCGCACACTATTCCGAACATTGTCGCAGGGGAGCTTTGCGGGAGACGAAGTGAAGCAGATCGATGTGTATGGTGTGCTGTAGACAGACCCGCCAAGGGTGTCTTGGTGGAATCCCGCACCAATAAATATCCTCATGCCTTCTTCTCCTTCCACTCTCCATCCTGGTCGCATCCATGTGTACTGGCTCATTTCTTATCCACTTTATACTCTCCGCATTCAAGATTAAAAATAATGAGTGCCAAGCCCATGGGCAAATGATCGATTGCTTCTTTCACCTCACCGACAACTGGGTGCTGATCTCCTTGGAAGGCTTGAAGATGTGAAATCATCCCATCCGGCAATTGCGTGCTCTGGAGCCATTCACTCTCCGCCCGTGCCTCCTCTCTCCCCCTTCTTCACCCCCCTCCACATCAATGATCAGCCTTTTGTTTTCTCTGGTCCCTCTGCATAAGCTTGGCTACTTATTTATTCTCGTTCCTGCAGTTGAGTCGCACAAGATCATGGCCCTTTCTTTGTCCGGTGCTCCCCTCGTGTCACCCATTGGCCCCTTTTGAGTTATCATCTCGATCTCTATATCTTCCCCACCGCAACCTCGGCCTACAGATTCTTTGATCAAGCAGACAATCTTCGCTCAGTCAGATAGTTGTTGCTCAGACCTACCATAAATGTACAAATCCTGATTGTTGCACGCCTTTCTTACTCATGGCTGCCTCGACTCACGTTCGCCCCGCCGATGATGGCACGCAGCCCCTCCTAGAGGCGCAGGAATACGACTCTTACGCCTGGGTGCTGCTTGAAGATCACCCGCTTCGGTCTCATCCGACTGCATGCTGTCCCGGAATCTGGTGGATGCTTCAGCAGTGGTATGCCACCTTTCGGAAGCTCTGGGGCGATCGCATCTTTTCAATCATCTGCCTGCTGTTGATGTTTGGGTATGTCTCCATTCCCCTTGTCCTTGACTGAAACCTACAACAATCGCACTATATGTTACTGACTGAGTAACGTCTAGGGTGATGGTGCAATTCCTATCTTTACTGCCCGATGGATTGTCTTATCTCTTTTTCCGGGAGCACTACACAGCCCAGGCAGGGTTTGTTCATTGGCCTGCAGAGTTTGACGGGCAACCCGCTGCCTGTATTGCCTACAATCCACGATCGCATCCGGACGCCATTCAGTATGTCATCGCGGCGGGCTGTACGGGAATCAAAGCGGACATCTGGCTCCAGGACGAGGAGCTCTATGTCGGTACCTCCAACGCGAGTCTGAGACCACATCTCACCCTGCGCAATGTGTACCTTGACCCTCTCTTGCAGCATCTTGACGCAGAAAAGACTCCAGAGGGCTCTGTGCAGACTACCGCGACGAGCCATCACGGAACTGCGACGGACGAGCAGTTTGTTCTATTCCTGGAATTCCGATCGCCCATCACGGATGGCTGGCCACATCTTCTCGCTGAGCTGCAAACCTTGAACGAACGAGGGTACCTCACGCATCGCGACGACACAAAGATCGCCAACAAGGCTGTCACGATCGTCATCGTGGGCGACGAGAGCGTCGACGCTGCTCACGAAGAGTATCGAGAATATTTCAACCACGACAGTATCTTTGTCGATGACCAACTGTTCACGAAAAGACCCAAGTCATCGTCTAGGCGTCAAGGAAATCAAGCTCAATCAATCAAAAGCAAAGGAAGTCAATCCCGACCGTCTTGGCAAGAGTGGAAGAATTCGACCTCGAAAGAGGTACAGCAGAATGTGCGATCGGTATTCACCACGACCGTGAGCTTCAGTGAAGAAGTCGGATCTCCTCATCGAGGACGATTTTCTCGACAACAACTCGATTTGATCCGGGCCCACGTGAAGCAAGCCCACAAACGCGGGCTAAAGGCGCGATTTGGAGACATCCCGTGTGGCTCGCAGAGGATGCAACGTTTGACTTGGAGAGTCTTGGTCAAGGCCGGCGCAGACCTCATTGATGTAGACTGGACAGGCTGTCATCGGCAACCATGGCGGCAGTTCTTTACGACAGGGTTGGCTTAGGAAGTTATAACCACGATTCTCTCTTTTGCCCTAGTTGATAGTAATGGCAAGCTATGTACATAGTGATAATAAAGATGTCTAGTGCAAGGGCTGATAGGTGCTCGGGGCCGGTTTCCACCTCGGCCGACAAATTGAATACTAAAGGTTATCTATGACTGGTGCACGGACCGTTGGTCGTCGATTCCAACCAGTCCGTGACACCAGTGCAACCCAGTCAAAAAGAAGGAAAAAAGAACAGGGCAAAGCAGAGCAGAGCAGAGCAGAGAAGAGCAGAGCACCGTGGCTAGCAGGGGTGGCTCCTCAATCCTGCAACCGGACCGACGCAAGGGGAGAGCTCGCCTCCCCTCCACTATGCTCTCTGCTGTGTAGCGATCAATGTGGCAAGCGGGCCAGCCTGAGTGTCGCATCAAATAACCCGATCGATCGTCTCAGAAAATCAGCTGCATTGTTTTGAGAATTCCATGAATCTCTCAGAATACTGCCATCCTATTATGTTGATGCATCGACGAAAACAACGCTCAAATCCCAAGTTAAGGTGCAACTCCGAGGATACTATGTAGAAGTTGTACAATACTGCACTGTACTCAAGTAAGCCGGATTAGATACTGTAGCAGGGGCGATCCCCCAGGAAATTCATTCCATGGAAGGGGGTCCTGGGATCGGCAGATTGTCACGCACTGCAGGTGGATACGTTACATACTTGGGGCCGAAGCAGGCTGCGGGCGGGAGGCAGACGGGCGCCTATTGTTGGATATCAGATTCAAACCTTGTCCGTGTTGACTCTCCCTTCCGGATTGATGGTTGTACTGTCCATGGAATAACAATGCTTTTCAGTGCAATCATAATACTTTCCCATGTGTTTTGACTGGTAGAGGAGGTTCCATAATTGGCAGGACGCATGACACGTCGCTGGCTGCATGGTCGACTAAGACCCAAGATATATTGGGCATTGGCGAGGGAGGGGAAGAGAGGAGAGGGGTAGATAGTAGTGGTGGTGGTTATACTGATAATAGTAGTGGTAGTAGTTCACCTACCTGGTAGCAGCAGCAGCTCTATAACTAGGTGTATGTAGTCCGGTTGGTGCCTTATTCTTCCTGTTTGTTTATTTATTGCTTTTTCAATTTTCTTCCCTTTTTTTTTTTTTGCATGGGTCCACCCCGTTTTTCCCCGCTGCCACGACGGCCCCATCCTGTTAGTTTCCCTCGCATTCCCTGGTCCTGACTTTAATGACTTTCTTTACTCACAGCTGAATTTACACACAAGGTTTCCCTTTCCCTTTCCCTTTTCCTTTTCTCCCTTCCCAATAAGTCTCTCCTAGCCTGGATTTACGGCCAGCGTGATTGGTACAGCCGCTCACTCACTAACCCAACTACAAGGTAAACTTACTCGACTCTATTCTAATTCCACTCGCACTAGTCGGAGTGAGATCCATCCATCCATCCAGTCGATCCAATCCATCCATTACTCACCGTTTTTCTTCGTGTTTTCTTTTCTCCTTCGCGCTCGTTTCCCCTTCTCCTCCTCTCCACACCTACCTTTCTCCTCCCTCCTCCTCCCTCCCTCCCTCCTTTATCCATCCCATCTCCTATCTTTATCTCTACCTTTCCCTCTGCCTCTGCCTCTGATTCTGCCTCCCCCGACTGATTTGGTTCTCATCCAGCTGAATTTCAACCTCTCAGCACTGGCTAGCTAGGTGTTGTTGTTTCACTCCACCAGAGGATTCTGGAGAGGGAGATTAAACTCGACTTGTGCCGGGGATTGCAAGCTACCGAGTGCCGCTGTTGCTGTTGCAGCTTGTGCTTGCTTGCTTGAAACTCAGCTTCCACCGCCATTTCGCCGGACCCCCCCCCCCATTCCGCGCCCGAACGCAACCCAACACACCTCCTCACTCTTCGTTTTTTCTCCTTTCCGATCGCTTCTCCGCTCACTCACCATGATGATGGATTTCCAAAAACACCACCCGCCGCCACCGTATCACCCTCATCCCTCGCTGTTGGGAGCGGTTGCCCACGATTCTCGAGGGGCGCCCTCAGCGCCGCCCGCCGCGCGCGCCTACGGAGGACCGCCTCGGCCACCATCACCACGCCCATACTACGAAATGCTTCAACGACGAGAGTCCGAGATGCCTCGATCGGCTGCCACGACCCCGGGTTACAATTATCCGACCCCTTCGTCCGCTCCCGCCCCCGTTTCCTCCGTCGCGTACACCCATGAGCCCGCCTACGCATCCTTGCGGCCAGAATCATCCGGGTATCACCTCGCACCGACTGGCCACGGTTCCTCCAAGAAGCATAATCTTCCGGCTGGGCAGCGAGACTCTGATAACCGCCATGATCCCCCTTATGATCATAATTATCTCAATCACCAGGATCGACGGATGGTGTATCGTGAAGGTAGGCCAGTTTAGTTTTTTCTTGCTCTAAGATATTAGTTTGGTTTGCTTTTTCGGTTCAACACTGCGCTTTGAGTTTTAATGATTCTTCCCGCCGCTGGTGGTGGTGGTGGTGGTGGTGATGGTGGTGGTGATGGTGTTGTTGTTGCTGGGTGCCTGAGCTGAACTGGGTAGCATCTCGGAAGGCCAGATCATGGATGGGATGGCAGCCAATGCCTGCTAGACATGACCAATGGCGCGCATGAAAATGTACGGGATAAGCGACCAGGGACGTGGCAGAAAACCCGGTAACTGCAGGCGGGAAGATGACTCTTTTGTCTTTTTGTCTTTTTGTCTTTTTGTTTTTTTTGGGGGGGGTTCCCGATTCATGACACATTTCTACTCAACACGACCCAAGCTCTGCTGCGGCACCGTTTGGTTTGGTTTGGTTTGTTTATCCATCGATTTACAAACAACCTTACCTACAAACGGGGGAGAGAGAGGGGGGGGGGAAAAGCAGAGACTGGGGCGGCCGGGCCAATCAGCGAGGGATCATCAGCCGCGTCTGTGGCGCCTGATCGCCTTCCAGCCCAGGAAGCCTCGGGAGGGCTAGTCCTCTTCGGGTTTAGCCTCGACTGCCAGGGCATCCTTACTCGATCAGGACTAGTGATCCAGGCCCGCCCAGAGTCACGGGTTCTGCCCCGGTTGTGGAACTCGCTTTGCTTTCTTGTCCGTCGCGCGCCTTCCTTCGGGTTTCTCTCCCATTCCCCGTTTATCTCATCATCACCATCATCACCACCACCTGCTTCGGCACCTTGCGCCTTCACCCTCGCCTCCCTCTTCATCCTCTTCTCTTCTCGCATTCATCTTCCTTATACCCTATTTCCTGCTCTAAGTTGTTGCGCTTAGGGGTCTCGAATATTCCTAACCGATTCTTGCCCCTTGTTTCCCTCCTCCCCTCCTCTTTCGTGTTCTCAGCGCTCCCTCAGCCCCCTCATCTGTGCATGCGATATGAATCCACCCCCGTCGCATGACCAGGGCCGTCGAAGGTCCTTGGGCGGCAGTGGTAGCTCCGGGTTCCCTGGTATGTGCCAGACATCCTGGCTCGCAGCGTGTTTTGTCGTCGCAGTCTTTCGCCGGCCCCCGACCAATCTCCATCGCCGTCTGCTATCTGGCTTCTTGTGCTGAACTCCGTCGGACATACTTGGGCTAACTCCGATCACTCTTTTCTCTCTACAGGTGTTCAAGATGCCTCAACCGCACAGCCGCTGGGCGCCCGCCGCATGCCTCCTCCCTCGTCGCCGCAGCACTATCCCGCGCGCGCTCCACCCGGCACCACACACTCTCTGCCTACCCCTTTCTTGTCGCGTGAGCCTCCCAGCAATCCGGCTCATCATCGTCCCGGGAGCAGCATGTCAATATCGTCCATGCTGGGCGCGGACGCTGACCGACCAGGCCGGGATGTAGGCTCCTCGATTTTTGGCCGTCTGCCCGTCACGTCCGCCTCATTTGGCAACGCGCATCCGCCATCGGCTCCCGGCGCGATGTCGCCGCCGACCGCGCCCGCCCGCCCGTCTCCGCTCGACTACCCTGTCTTCCGACGATCGCAAACTCCCGAAAAGTCCTTTGCCAAGAACCAACCCCCGCGACCGTATCGATCAGGGTCCGGTGGTGTACCCCAGGCGATTCCCGAGCAGGCCAAGTTCGGTGGTCCGCCACGCGGTCACCCATCCACCCAGTTTCCCGACAAACCCCACTCAACACACCCATCCCCTCAGATCCCCTCGGCCGATGCTCCGTACAATGAACCTCGCCGAACCAGCTTCAGTGGACCGGTACCTCGTCCCAGTAGTCAGCCGCAACATCTCGAACCGCCGCCTCGCACGGCCGGCTACAGTCCGTTGTCTCGACCGATCGCAGTGCCCACAACCACTAGTATGGGAGAAGGATCATTTGTGCCTACACACCAGCGAGCCTCATCCTATATGGGCCATGAGCTGCCGCACAGTCGTTACGGGGGACTTTACACTGATCGTCACGCGGAGGAACAAGCCATTCGGGAGCGGGAGCGCGCAGTGGCACATGAAGCCGAGTCCAAAGCTGCGGCGCACGTTGTTCCTCGCTTCGGCCAACCTTATGGAGACCGCGACGCAGCCGCTGCTCGGTCCCAGGGGCCTTCCGCCTGGGAGCTTGGACGCTCGCAACCCGCGTCCCCCGAGGTCAAGCGCTTTCCCGCCCCGGAGCCGGGCGCTGGCTTTGGCTTCGGTGCCATCCAGAACTACACTAAGTCGTTGGGGTCTCAGCTAGGCGGGTCGCGGGCCCCATCGCTCTCCGTGCACTCGCAGTCAGGCCAGCCCACTCCCCCGTCGCATGAGCAGACACCATACCTGAGTAAGCTACAAACCGACACACGCGCCTTCCCGGTCAGCTCTTCCGCTGCCTCTGCGGGTATGATTCTTTCTGCCGCCTCGGATGAACAGCGACGCAAAGGAAGCGATGAGCTCCTAGCGCATCGGAATTTGCTTAGCGTCGGGCTGGACGCGAAAAGGGGTGGACGAGCCTCACCGCTGCCCCAGGCGGTGCAGGGAGCTCAGGCGCAGATCTTGGGCCCCGCTGGGGAATCAGGAATCAAAAATGAGCTGGGCCGTGTGTTCTCGGGGATCGGAAGTGGAGTGGGCGGCGTGACGGGGTCCACGGCCGGGAGCGGACCATCGACGCCCATGACCTCAGCCAGCCCTTTCAAACGGGACAGTGCCACCGCCCGGTCCACCAACAGTGAAACGACAGCGGATGAGACCAAGATTCCCCGCCCTACCTCCGCCAACGGGAAGCGATCTCGGAAATCGCGCGACGAAGACATTCGGCCTGAAACCGAGGCTGGGGCATTGGGCGCAGCCTCCCGCGGGCGGCGAAGTCGGCACGTTCACCACCACCACCATCAGTAAGCTCCCCCAAACCTTTGTCTGACTATGACGTATACTAATCTCGACGTAGCCATCATCACCACCGGCATAAACCGGAGGAAGAGGCGGCCGCCCTCGGCCAGAATCGACCTCTATCGTCGATGAACTTTGTCCATCGCACGGCGACCCCCGCGGATGGGCCAGCCACCGCGGCGGCAGCGACGCTTGCTCATCATCATCACCATCACCCCCACCACCATCACCATCATCATCACGCTCCCCGACCAGCCGGATCAGCGGCTCCTGCTTCCTCTGTCACTCCGATTCGGGAACCTCGCACAGTGGTAACCATTGAACCTCTTCTGACAAGCGTCGCCCATCTTCCTCGTCACCACCTAGGCTCTACCCTGTACGCTCCTCATATCGGGGTACCAACAGAAAAGGCTACCTTGGAAAGTGCCAAGTTTGGGTACACCACCACGCCTGTTCCTTTGCCCCGCTTCGAAGGGAAAGAGAATTGCACGTTCACCATCCGCGTCCCCCGCTTCCGAATCGATAACGGCCGTCGCGAGGAGATTTGTGCTCGGCGTGCGCTTTGGGGAACCGGCGTTTATACCGACGATTCCGACCCCGTTGCGGCAGCCATTCATTCTGGCTTCATTCGGGGCGCCTGGAGCGAGGATGTCGATGTGGACTTGCTTGACCTGGAGATCCGCGACACATACCAACACGCTCCCCAGAGAGCACAAGACATCGGCCTCGAAGAGGGCGAGCGACCCCGGGTGCCCCCCGTTCCCCCTCCGACCAAGACCTCCACATCACCATTCTCATCCTGCCTCGTCTGGAACGGTACGAATCCAGCGTGCTGTTCGGCCTCCGGTCTCGAGCCTGGGAAGGCCACCACGACGGCATGAGCTACAAAATCCTTCGGACGGAATGGATCGACGAGGGCGTCGGCCGCGGCGAAGAACGCAGCGGCGCCGCCCGCCGCAAGCGCCTTCGTACCCTGATGCAGACGGGCCGCATCTGCACGGGTCCCGGGGTGATCAAATTGGACCAGCTGCGCAATGGAATCCAGGTGCCGCGCCGCAAGAAGATTGAACCGAGTCGAGAACAGCCATCGCCGATGCAGACCGTCTCGTGAGCAGGGACTGGGTTATGGATTCAACTGTGATCCAGTTTTTTTTCTTCAAGTCCGTCTGGAATTGTTCGGCCTTTTTTTGTGTGTCTATCTATCCATCCTTGTATGGCGTTGCGAGGGTCTTATTCCTATTCGTTCTTGCTGCAGTATCATTAGCGAGGCGTGGTATTTTTTTCTTTTTTTACGCGTGTGTGTGCAGCTTGATTCAAAGTACATTTTGTTTTGCTTATAGGTAATTCTCAAGACATGACAGATCTGTTTTGTTTTGTGGGTTGATGCCTCAGGGTTGTTTGTGTACCTAGCCCGTTTTCGTCATTTTCCTGCATGAATGGGATGTGAGGTGCTTAATTTGGGACTTTTGCTTTTGTTTTGTCCCAAGTACGTAATACCTAGCTCCATCTGGGATTAGATAGGGGTTTCATCCGAGGTCCTATTTGGTATACTCGAGAGTATGTGATGTACTTCGTATATTTCACGCATGTGTTCCAAAACATCAGTAAGAACCAGGCAGCACAGCTATTCTGGCATGCGCATAGCGCATAGAGCATAGGCAGCAATGAAGAAGGAAAACGGGACACGCCTCCAACAGGTTTGATAGCTCCACTCTGCACTATATCTATTGGGGGAATTTGGATGATTGTATGCTTGACAGCTACGGCGTCCGAGCCCCCTCCCCGATCCCCATCAACCCCCCGGCCAGCCCCGTCATCCGCCGATCCAACAGATCCTCCTCACTCGCCAGGCTGTTCATGCTCCGATTCCTCTCGCGCAGGGGGATGATCGCCACGGCACTCTGGAAGTAGTCGGAGACATATCCCTCTTCTTCCTCTTCCTCGCACTCGGAATCCTCCGGCGGGAGACTTAGTTTGGCGGGGACGCGGTGCTGCTGTCGCTGCGGCTTTCTGGTCCCGACGGCAGGGGACTTAAGAGAGCGGCCGCGGGAGACGCTGCGGAGGCGTTCGGGGTTACTGATATTTCCGTTTGGTACTAATTGGGGCTGGGACTGGGAGTGATTGTGACTGTTGATGGATGCTTCGTCGTGGTCGTCATCGGGACGTTGTGGGCCGGTGGAGCTGGACCTCCCCCCGGCTTTGCTGCCCAGCGGGGTGAGCGGGGTGAGTTTGGTGATGCTCATCTCTAGGGGTTTGTCTTCGTCGGCGGAGGATTCGCCTGTTAGCCGGCGTCTGTGGTTGCGGGTGCGGGTGCGGTGGGTGAGGAGGTGCTGAAAGCTGTGGAGTGAAGGGGGTTTCTTCTTGGCTGGTTGGTTGAGATCGTGGAGTGATTGTAACAGGCTCGAGGAGGAGGCGGTCTTGGTCTCCGACAAGGCGAACAGCTCGCTGATCCAGGTGGCGCATCGGTTGATGTGTTTCCAGCTTTCGGGGAAAAAGCCGGCCATCTGCATGAAGCCGTGCGAGATGCCGGGCAGCAGGGAGACCTCGACGTGGTCCTTGTCGTTGAAGGCGCGGTGGGATTTCTCAAGGCCGAGGTCCTGTCGTTCTTGGAAGTGTCGTAGTTTTGCTTGACGGAGGCGCCCGGCGAATATCACTGTGTCGTCGACCAAAGGATCGCGTTCGCCGGTGATGATGTACGTCTTCGGGAAGCGCGCAAGGATCGCCTCCGGCGCGAGGGTCGGGGAGAGGAGATAGTCTGTGTTGAAGTCGGGGCGGTTATGCGGTCCGATGTAGAGAATGATCATTGCTCGCATCATCTCCGGGGTGAGGATCCGGTCCTGGACGTACGAAATCACCGATGATACCGCTAGGCGAGTGCGGATCTGCTTGGGCTGGTGCTCGGCGACGGCGGCGGCCTCGGCCTCTTGACCCAGCATGGCGGATTTGTGCGGGTGCTGGGCCAGTCTGCGCGTCGTCTTTTCGCCGAGGTTGTTGGCCTCAAGATCCAAATCGGAGCACGAGTCTTGCTGTAGGTCGGCAAACGATGTACCGGGAGAGGTGTAGGGCGTCAGGCGCTGATAGTCCATGTTCTTGCGCTGCAAAACGTTCTGGTTGGTCCGACGGGTGCTTTTCTCCTGGATCAGCGCCATCTGCTCCTCCGTCATCCAGCTTTCGATCTTCATGTTCAAAGCAGGGTAGGCTAGAACGAGCCCGTCCGGTCGTGGGAGGACGTTCTGCCCTTGCCAGAGTGACGCATCCGCACTGCCCGACTGGAGGACCATCAGCGTCATGCCTACAGCGAGGTTTGCGCCAGCGCTATCCCCGGTGATGACAATTCGAGGATGGGTTTGTCCATTGAGTCCAATACAGCGGCCACGGGTGGACACAATTGTGTGGTACACGTCGTAACATTCATTCAAGGCGTACGGATAGGGATACTCCGGCGCCTTCTTATAGTCCAGGCTAAGGATAGGAACCTTTGTCCGCGCGGCCCAACTCAACAACCTATCCTCCGAGTTCCGAGGGCTCATAGACACAAACCCCCCGCCGGGGATGTCCAAAACAATGCATGTCTGATCCCGCAGCGCACTCAAAGGGCCGTCAAAATACAGCCACGCATTCGTCGGCTGGTCATATATCGAAGACGCCGGTCGAGGAATGCGAATCGCCCGCGGCGCATATTTGGTGAGTCTGGGCCGTGTCAGGCTCGCTAGGGCCCAGAGATACGGCGAAGTCCCTTTGTTCCACGAGACCCGCATGTGGTCCAGCGTCAGCGTGGCCCGGACCCGACGGACCTTTTCATCCGCCCTCTCTGCGGCAATGAGATAGTATACAGTGAAGACCAGCGACGCTATCTCCCGCAGCCACTTGGGTTTGACTTTCATCGCGGTCCAGAAACCAGCGTCCAAGGCGGTGGCGATCCATGTCGCTCGGAAGAAAGAGCGTGAGTATAAATTTGCCAGGGGCTCTGGACACTCGAGGCCGACTATCTTCGCAAAGTTACGACTAACATAGAGCCAGAGGAAGACGATGACCGTGGTTTGCCAGACGCTGAGCTTTTCCGTGAGGCGGGAGGAGAGTTTGCGAACAACGGGTGGGCCATGCTTGTTTCCCCTTGAGGTTGTCAGAGCCACGCAAAAGAGCTACATGGACACAGCGGACCCATGTTGAGGTGCCGTACCTTGTTAAATATAGCGACCAGAATGCGAATACAGCCAGGACCTGGATCTTTCGGAATTTGGTGGACGGCCTTCCCAAAAGGTGGTCTAACCGGCTCTGTTAGGCACTGCTCAAATGGAGAGGTTGGACACTACAATACAACTTACCTATCATGTCTTCTAGGCAGAAACAAGAGTCTAAATCAAGAGATACAGCGTTCTAGGTGCGAGAGCCATAGAATCATAGGATTGTGAATGGAAGAATGCGAGCAAGTATACACCGAGTCCTAAGCAAGAGCGTACAAACGAAGTGGTTCAGAAGGAGAGAATGGGAGTTGGTTGGAAGAAGTTGACTCTGAAACCGGTAATCGAACAAGGAACAGAGAAGAGACCGAGTGAGACGCCATGGTGGCCAAAATATGGGGTAGTTAATAGTAGTTAAAGAAGGGTGTGGTCAAGTCCGTCCGTCCGTCAGCCATGGATACGGGGCAGCAAAAGCCCACGAAGCTCAGCCGAGCATGTGAAATCCCCACCAGGGACCATGCCTGCTGGCTGGATCCAGTGACGTGGAGCTTATTCATCTGGGGTATGAGTCGGCTTGAGACATGGTCGGAGCAAAACGATCTGCACTTGTTCCGGTGCAGAAATGGTGCTAAGACAATGGTGGGGGAGAGGGGGGGAAGATGAATGGATGTGAGATGAATGAATGGATGGATGGATGGATGGAGTGAATGAGTCGGTGAAATGCACCCGGTCCGTCACATGTCAGTTGATCTCCTCCTCCCTTCCCTTCAGTCCAGTCCCGTGACCCCCACCAGATCAGCTGCGCCAGAATTGACTCCAGGTATGAAGTATTTTCCAGCCATTGTTCTATTTAAGGTATATGATGGTTGATTATTTATGCTGATCTGACCCTAGTGCACACTGCTCTATGCAGACTGTAGTATATCTAAACCACTCATCGCATTACTCACAATCTACAATCTCCGACAGTAGTCTCGTCCGCGCGCAACTTGCCAATCGCAGAGCCAGACCTCAAACGCCATGCTGATAAACCCAGCAATGCAGACGCCGCCCGAGTCACTCGCCGTCGTGGCTCCCAGCGAGAATTCCCGTTCCTCCACCGGCACCCGATCGGCAATCTCAGCGAAAGTGCTGACATAGACAAGGCCGCCCAAAAGCCCTTCCCAGAAAACAACCCCAAATACCAACCACACGCTGGGGATGAAGTTGAATAGCGAGTGTAGCGTCAAGATGATTAGGTTGAGGAATTGTAAGAAAGACGGAAAGTACAAACTATGAACGCGGAAGAAAGGGGTCGAAGACCGGGAGATGAAGACCCCAACTTGGTAGATCGCATTATATGCTGGGTAGAATGCGCGATAGTGGTCGAAGGGGGAGTCTTGGAGAGGGAAAAGCAACGTCGGTGCGACACCTTGATTAATGGTGTACTCGGCGACATAGACCAGCAACAGTGGGAGCATACTGGAAGAATCCGTAAGAACATGCATCCGGGTTGAGTGAATTTGCAAGATATACTCACAATGGAAGAAATAGTCCCTTAGATCGCTGTAAGTTAGCCTTAAACGCCTGCCATCCAAGGCCAGTATCGTTAGAAGCTGGCTTTTTCTGGATCTGACTCTCATCGGTCGATTCGTCGAGCAACTGCTCCCTCTCATCAATGTCATCGGCCGTGTGCTCCTCCCGAGAACCGTAGCCTGTCCTCCGCGCCGAGAACGAGCGCACCGGGGACTGTGGTAGAATCGTGAAGAAACTAAGAACCATGACCGCCGGCAAACACGCCGAGGCCAGAAGAGTTGCTTTGACGCTGAAGCCGAAAGAGGTGGTGGCTAAAGCGTATGCGCCAGCACCCACCAAGCCTGCAGCACCCGTGCCACTGCCCCAAGAAGCCAGACTGAACGGGCCGTAGTGATGCGTGAGAGCGATGAAGGAAAGTTCGCCTCCTCCGCTGGACATACTCGACAAAATGATGCCTGCGATCTTGGTGGCAATCGGGCCGCCGTCCGTGTAGGCCGGACTCAAGGCAACGAGCAGCATGCCGGTGGTAGAGAAGGTGACGAATACCAAGACCCTTACGGGATACGGCACCGCCTGGATGAAATACGGAGCGACCAGCTTGGTGCCGAAGGAGGGGATCACGTCGGCGAGCAGCACCACGCCTTTCGGCAGGTCGGGGCCGACGAGATCCAGGGCAGCAGAGAGAATAATGACATAGAGGACATTGTTGATCAAGCCTGTCGCAGATGGGACAGATGAACCCCGGCAGCGATCAGTACGGCTATCGCCATGTTGAAGGGGGTCAGCGGAGTAGATTGAGCTTACCGAAGAGCCAAAATGCCACACAGACTCTTGGATCAGCTCCATGGAAGAGAGCCGCAAGGCGTCCACGAAACTGGGACCATGACGAAGATGGCGCTCCGGGGAGAGGCAGCATTGATGGTTCGTCTTCTCTAGACGGTGAAGACATAACCAGAAAGGAGAAGGGGGGGGGGGGGGGGGGAGACTACAAGGAGGGTTCAGTTGAAGTGAAGCATACAGCAGAAGTAACAGTTAGTGCCATCAGTGGAAAATACAACAGGGACGTTAGTTATAAATTATTGTCGCAATGGGCATGTAATAAGCTGGAGGTGACATGACGTTGACGATTGAAGAGAGGACGGTTGAGCGCAACTGCGACAGCCTGGCCGGCCGTCCACGTGACTGCCATAGAGTTTCTTATCGACTATGAGCATCTTGACTGTAAGTTCAAGCACCATCGAATTGAATATAGGTCATCATATATAGACTTCTACCAAGTATGACCTTAAGTAGAAACTACAGTACAGCCCTACTATCACAGCTCACACGCTACGACAAAACCAGTGACTGCCGTGCAATCCCAACAAACCAATCGTACCAGCGGTTGCGCATAAGCCCAAGCCGAGATCCCCGAGACGCGGCTATCGGGACAATCAGGCTTATCGGTTCTTGGAGATGTTTCTCTCTCCCGCCCTCGAATTTCTTCTCCGCCACTCCTCCGCATCTTCTACAATTACACAACACACTGTTCAACCACAAACCCATCTACATTACTAAAATACACCGCAAACCCAATCTCACACAAAACCCAATACATACATACAATCAAAATGTCCCTCTTCCACCCCACCCGCCGCCTCTTCCTCCACCACCTCACCAAACCAACCGCCACCACCACCACCGCCACCACCAAAGCAACAACAACCCGCACCTTCACAACCACCCCTGCTTTCCGCTCAGAAGACGAAACCCGCCCAGCCTTCGCCTTCAACCGCGGGCCCGCCCCGCCCCGCCTCCCCAAGGAACAACAAGAAATCTTCGAGGAACTCCAGCGCAACTCCACCGGCGCATTCAGCACCCCGCGCGTCAACCAGTCCCCGGATTCTACTGCCTCAGCGGCGGAGATCAAGGCCACGGGCAAGGGCGAGGAGCTGCATCCGGACATCAAACCGGGGTTGAAGCCCGAGTTCGAGGGGGAGAAGAATCCCAAGACCGGGGAGATTGGGGGCCCTAAGAATGAGCCGTTGCGGTGGGGGGCTGGCGGGGATTGGAGTTATGGGGGGAGGGTGACGGATTTCTAGTGGGGATTTTGGATTTGGATATGGATATACAATAAGATTCCGCTGGGGAGTGCTTGGCGGGTATAGATGGGGGAGTGGTGGGATGCGTTACATTGCTTGATCTTGATTGAGGGGTTGAATGCTGGGTTTTTATATGTTGGGTGTGATAGTATGTTATATCATGGTTCTTTGTACAATAATTATCTGAAAGATGCTTTACGCTGTTTTCCTACGGCTATGCGCAACTTTACCGTGCCACGGGGATTGGTCAACACAATGGCTGGTGACGTTCTCGCTGTACATACATACACAATCCTCGGCTCTCCCTGATGCTGTATTTCCTGGATGCTCAAGCTCAAAGAATACCACTATCTGACTTGAAAGAAAACGTACGGCCGTCTACTTATCCTCCTCACTCCTCGCCAAAATCGCCTTCCCGGCCCGGCTCTCATTGAACCGCCCCAGCTCCCCGCTGATCCACGCCCCGATCCTTGCCATCTCCTCCAGGTTGATCCCCGTATTCATCCCCAGACTGTGGACTGTGTGCACCATATCCTCCGTCGAGACATTCCCCGTGGCGCCCTTGGAGTAGGGGCAGCCGCCGAGCCCGCCGACGCTACTATCGAAGATGCGGATGCCATGCTCCAGCCCCACGATCGTGTTGACCAGGGCCTGGCCGTAGGTGTCGTGGAAGTGCAACGCGAGGTCGGTGCTGGCGATGCCGGCCGCGCGAAGCGCCTGCAGCAGCTCCATCGTGCGGGGCGCGGTGCCCATGCCCGTGGTGTCCGCCACGGAGACCTCGTCGGCGCCCATCTCCAGCAGCGAGCGCGTGATGTCTGCCACCTTGACGGGCGACACCTCAGGCCCTTCGTAGGGACACCCCAGCGCCACCGAGACGTAGCCACGCACCCGGATGTTGCGCGTCTTCGCCAGGGCGACCACGGGCCGCACGCGCTCCAGCGACTCGTCGATCGTGCAGTTCGTGTTCGCCTTTGAGAAGGCCTCCGTCGCGGCCGCGAACAAGGAGATCTCCGTCGTGGTCGTCGGAGCGTCAGCGGGGACGCCGGTGGCATCCAGGACCTTGATAAGGTTCTCGAGGCCCCGGACGTTCGGGACCAGGTAGTTGTACGCAATGACGTTGGCCGACTCCGGCGGTGTTTGCAGCAGGTGCTCGCAGATCTCCGCTGTGCTAGCCATCTGTATGAACGATCAACCAGTTGTGAGTATTATATCAAGGTTTGGTTGCATTTGCATCTGAGTCTCCGATGCCCTCTTGAGAATATAGCCACTCCCCCCCCCCCCACCCGCACGCTAGGATGTATAAAAGACAGCTACTCGCGTACCTGAGGCACCCATTTCGCAGGAACAAAAGATCCAGCCTCAATTGTCGTCACGCCCGTCTTGGCCAGTCTCCGGATGAGCTCGAGTTTGGTTTCGAGCGGGATGGACTTCTTCTCGTTCTGAAGGCCGTCTCGTGGGCCGACCTCGACGATGCGAACATGGTCCGAGGTTAACCGCGCCTCGGTCGCAAAGCGGCGGCGAGCTGCTGGGGCAGAGCGCAGGACAGAGAAGAGACGCATTCTAGGCTTGAAGCTCATCATGATGGATTTCGTATATTCAGCAGCTTAATGGTCAAGTGAGAATGCATTCAGTAGTGGAAAGTGCGAAGCTAAGGTATCTTATAACCAGAAGATGGGGGACCGGGGAGGGATGATGATGATCATGATGTTCCGCCCGCCGAGCAAATGCGGAGAAGAGGCCGACCCAAGCCCGTGACCCCCCACTTAGTCAGAATTAAATTATCCTCAGCTCACTATGCGAGCCATCGTTCGATAGGAATTATCGCGACTCGCAACAACACACCACAATTACTGGCTCTAACACACTGCGCCCGTCATGGAGGACACACCGAATCAACCAACAACATCGAGTGCCCCGCTCCGACAACCCAAGAAGAGATTCGTCGGACGGCGCACCGCCGACGCCCAAGCACAGAAGGAAGGATCCAGCAACCACCAGGATGTCGAGTCGACGAGCATACAGAAAGGTGAGCCCCTCGCCCTCCCCCTCCCCCTCTCGCATCTGAAGAATCGTACCCAGAAATCCACCACTAATCACAAAAGCAACAGCCGCCCCAAGACGCACCCCGCGAACCCTGAACCAAGTCCCGCCAGAGATCCTCGAAGACCCCGACATCCAAGCGGCGATCGCCTTGCTCCCCAAGAACTACTCCTTCGAGATCCCGAAGACCATCCACCGCATCCGCACCTCGGGCGCCAAGCGCGTGGCCCTGCAATTCCCCGAGGGCCTCCTCATCTTCGCGACAACCATCTCGGACATCCTGACCCAATTCTGCACCGGAATCGAGACCCTGATCATGGGCGACGTGACATACGGAGCATGCTGCATCGACGACTACACCGCGCGAGCACTAGGATGCGACCTACTAGTGCACTACGCGCACAGCTGCCTGATCCCCGTCGACGTGACGCAGATCAAGACCCTCTACATCTTCGTAGACATCAGCATCGACACGACGCACCTGCTCGCGACCCTCGAGCGCAACTTTGTGGCGGGCAAAACCATCGCCATGGTCGGCACGATCCAGTTCAACGCGACGCTGCACGGCCTGAAGCCCGTGCTCGAGCGCGCGGGATTCCGCGTCCTCATCCCGCAGATCACGCCGCTCTCCAAGGGCGAGATCCTGGGGTGCACGTCGCCGACCCTCGCCGCCGCGGAAGTCGACTACCTCCTCTACCTCGGCGACGGCCGCTTCCACCTCGAGTCTGCCATGATCCACAACCCGGAGATCCCGGCCTACCGCTACGACCCCTACGCCCGCGTGCTCTCGCGCGAGAGCTACGAGCACGAGGAGATGCACACCCTGCGCCGCGACGCGATCCAGACCGCGAAATCGGCCAAGAAGTGGGGCATCATTCTGGGCGCCCTGGGCCGCCAGGGTAACCCCCACACCATGGCGATGATTGAGAATCATCTCCGGGCCAAAAACATTCCGTTTGTCAATCTGCTGCTGAGTGAGATCTTTCCCGGGAAGTTGGGCGCCATGGCCGATGTCGAGTGCTGGGTGCAGATCGCTTGCCCCCGGTTGAGTATCGACTGGGGGTATGCGTTCCCGCGGCCGCTGCTGACGCCCTACGAGGCCTTGATTGCGCTGGGGATCAGGGAGAGCTGGGACACCGCCAATGGCGGCGTGTATCCGATGGATTTCTACGCTAAGGAGGGCCTAGGCAGGACGAAGCCGAGCCAGGCGATGATCCCTGCTGGGCCGGCTTGATATTTGTGCGGTATCTTCACAGATGCCAACACCTATCCATAACTCATGATGTATATGAATATTTTCTTGTCGTTCTTTTCTGCATATGTTTCCCACGACTATATAGGGGGGTCAACAAACCCACAAAAGCTTTATGATTATAGAATTACAAGAAGGCCAACATGATATCACACTTGGAAGAAGAAGTCTACATCTCTCCGTTGGGTCTAACATTACATAGATTTTCTTTGGAATCGTAAAATAGCGCAGCACAAAGTTCATGAGCCTTTGATCTCATCTGCACTGTCCGTCATGGGGTCACTTGCACTGCCGCGTCGAAGTGAGAGGATGCTCTTGCTGGCCAGCTCGTCGGCGGTCCGCTCGGCCGCCCGCCATCGCGTGACGGCCTGCTCGACATCCTCAAACATCTCCAGCGTGTCTTTGATGATCCCTCCTTCGTCGATCTCGGGAACCTGCGTGCTTGCTCGAGAGCCACTATCGCTGCTCATAGGGAAGCCCGGTCCAAAGCCCCGCTGTGGAACAGGGTTGAACATGACGGCATTCGCAAACATCCGGATCAGCTCCTTCTCAAGCTGGGCCGAGTTGACGATACCTTTGGGAGGAATGACATCCTCCGTCTTCTGGAGCATCAAAACCGCATTCTTGGAAGGAGTACCTGTACCGGGCGCCGGGGACTCCCCATCGGCAGCAGGTGTGCTAGCAGCCTCCGTAGCCGCAGCGACAGCCTTACTGCCCTGGTACATCACTGATTTGATAGATTTCAGATCCTGTGGTCGATAGATAAGATCTCGATAGCCAGGAGCATCGCGTTCTGCTAGTGGCTTGGCGAAGATAGAAGCATGCTTGTGCATGGTGACATCATTCATGATGGGTGCACCGGTTCTTGGGAAACTACGCGCACACAACACATAAGGGGTCGATTGATTCGGGTCAAGACGGGTGAGCTGACTGGCTTCAGTCTGAGGAGGTTCGGCTTCTTCGCTGGGGGCACGCTTGCGTTTTGGCCGCCCCCGGCCTGGTCGACTTATTGACGGACGTTCCGGCTCTGCCATTTCAGGTACGCCAGCAGGTGTGCTAGGCATCTCGTGCTTGACCTTAGGCTGAGACCCGCTTTCCGTAGTTGACTCGTCATCCCGCGACAAGACGGATCGCCCGCGACTCCTTGACGATGCCGTGCTTCGATCTCGATCTTTTCCGGTGGATGGTGTCAGTTTGTCCACCTTCCTCTTCGATCCTGGTTTTGTATCGGCATCGACGGCGGGCTGGTTCGACTCTGAGCTCGTTGAATTGCCCTTGCGATCCGTTCGGCGTTTCAGACGGCGTGGCTCGGGTTCTTCTGGTGTTGCTTCACGAGATCCAGGCGGGGATGGTGCCTTCTCGCTGATGGGACTGATCTCCTCCGGACGTGGTCGGTCTGGCGAGCGGGGAGATTCGGGTATGCTCAGACTCAAACGCGGAGTCCTCTTCCAAGGCGTGAGTGAGCCAATGGTGTCAACCGATGGTCGCAAAGGACGTGAATCTGGTGGACCCGGGATCAAAGCAGCTCGGCCGGTTCCTACTGGAGTCTGGAAGCCAGGAGCTGGGACACCCAAAGCTGGGGAGGACGCTGCTGCGGGCACTGGGCCCGGAGTTGAAGGGAAGGGTATGGGCGGTTGACCCTGTTGAGCCAACTTGCTCTCAACACTGGGTATAGGTTGCTGAAACGGTGGGACAGGCCTCTCCAAAGGAGGGTTGTTCGAAGGCTCAGGCTTCGGCTTGATAAGTGAAGGCGAAGGCTGAGGTGTCTGGGGAGGTTGGTGCAGGGACCATTGCTGGAAACTCGACTGTGGTGGAAGACGCTGAGGAATTGGAGTGGACGCTGTGGTCGGTGCGCCTGCTTTAGCAGCAGGCTTGTCAACCGGGGTGGATTGCTGCGGAGTAGAGATAGCCTTGGGTACGATTTGTGGCTGCATAGGAGCAGGCGGTTTGCCAGCACTGAGATTTGAGGAAGTGATATTCGGGGGTGGTACCTGCGGCGACATGAATGTCACACCGGCTGCACCAGCTTTCGCGGGGACATTCCGAGGTACGGTGTTGGCTTGCGGCGCCGGAAAGGTCTTTCCATTTGGTGTCTGCGGTTGAGGTGGCCTGCCTGTCGCCATCTGTGGGATGGGTGGAGGTGGTTGCACCGTTGGCTGCAGTTGTTGAGGTTGCGGCTGAATCGGTCTGACCGGCTCTTTCAGCGACTGTCCTGCTGGTTGCTTGGGGAGTTGTGAAGGCGTTTGAGGTAGGTAAGGCATAGTCTTTGGTGGTTGCTTATCCGGCTGCAAGTCCTTGGATTGCGGCACAGGCTGTGCTTGCGCCCTATCCACGACCGGCGGCGGAGGCTTTGACTGGATTGATGCGGGCATAGGTTGCTGGGGCGGTCTCTCTTCCTTCACATCCAAGTCCATTGGTTCCGGCGCATGTTCTTGCTTCGGGGGTGCAACTGGCTGCGGCGGCGGGCGCACAATGGACTCCGGCTGTGCTTCGCGTTCTTCCTTCTGCAACAGTTCAATCTCGTTTCGGATCTCCGTGTATCTCTTCTCATCGTTCCTAATTTCCCTCGTCACAAGCTCCTTATACCTAGCGTACAAGTGCGATACCAGGGTTGGCATTAGGCTGGTGTGGCTCAACCCTTTTTCGGACGACCCATCTGGCTGTGGGCTCGTAATCTTCCGTTTTTTCGGGTTAATCGGACTCTCAGCATGGCGACCATTTGACTCATGAGCCGCGACGACACCGATCGAGTCGACACCTTCCCTCACCAACGTCGTATAGAGGTCCTCGAGGGCCTCCGGGGCGAGTCTCCCGGCATCAAACGCGGCATTCTGGCGAATGAATGGATTATTGCGAAGAACATCGGAGATGGTCGCGAAACTCGCGGGTCGAGCATCTAAGGCAGCGAGGGACTGGAAAAAGAGGAGCGACTCAAAGGGGGTGTAAGCAGATAGAGGAGGCATCCCCCATTGCCCGTCAGATCGGCCGCCGGGGGAGAGGGATTTTGGAATAGGGGCCACGGTGGTAAAAGAGTTCGTTGCGAGACGCTTGGCCCGGTAAGTTAATCCAAACGTTCAGCGTCAACCGCTTTGTAGCTTAGCCCTGCAATAGAGGACGCTCGGTGGGTGGTACCGAACCCAGATGGACGTTCGTGCCTTGAAAATCAGGCCGACAAGGTCGCGTGTGCGGAACTGGAAGGGAAGGATTAGAGGTGCGGGTTTAGACCATCCGCGCAAAAAAAAAAGGGAAGGGGGAGTCGAAAAATTAGGCAGAAAATCAGAGACGGGAAAAACGCGACCGTGTCAAGATGGGTGACGCGGGGTGGGAGGAAACGGTAGACAATTGGGAAAAATTGGAGTATCGTTATGGGAAGAGGTACCCAAAATGGATTTGGAGAGAAAAAAGGGATGACAACGATGGTGGATCAAAAAGGAACGGGGATGGATGGATGGATGGGTAGGATGGGATGGGATGGGATGGGATGGGATGGGATGGGATGGGATGATGGGATGGGGGTCGAGGGGAGGGAGGTGTGGATAGGATAGGATGGAATTAGTTCTCGTCGCGATGTTGCGTTTTCCCCCCCAGGGGAGTCTGTCTGTCTTTCACTGCTGGGCTCCTTCATCACCTCACCCTTTCTCCCGCGACCGATCCGGAAAAGGCCTGCGAGTCACGTGGGACACGGAATGGAGGAAGTCGGAACAAACCGTATTCAGCAGTTGTTGATTTATTATACCTATTGTCACGGCAACCTGCCACCTTTCAGGTTTGACAAGGTCACTATGCCCAGTCGCAGAGATTCGGCTTATTTTTCTTTCTGGCCTAACATCTGACCTGGGAAGGGCGCTCTTAACACTCTTCCCTCCTTTCCAGTACGGCATATTGAGTACTGTATCAGAATGAGGAACATGGCACCGTGCCAGTCTCTTATCAGGGGCTATGAGATAGTGTGCTCTGAACCGAAATCCTGTTTCATCTGAATACTTTCTCATACAAACGAACCAAACAGCATCATGATTCCTCCAGTCAATACACCGTAATCTGTAGTAATTCTAGAATAGCAGAGCAGTGGACGGTACCTGGCCTGGGCTTAGTAGCGCCGGCTGTGTGATGCTAGCGTCGGCCCAGCCCGGGACTCTGGGCTGGATTGTACTCACTCGGGTAGATAAAAAGCACATGCTTCAACACGGAATAATAAGTACTAGGTAGTCTATCAAATAGCTCTCACCCAAAGAACTTTGCCTTCTCTGACTCCCATGGTCGAAATTCTTGGTCAGCTCAAGTTGCCTTTGTGCATTATGCCAGCTGAAATATCTTGGCGTATCGCTCAGATTGAGCGCTATACAGGATGTCTCTCAAAAGATGCTTGAAATTTGATAAGCTTCTGTGCCGGAAGAGCCGCTCGCGGCTAATATCTGCATTACTGTCTGGGCTGGGCTTTCTTTGTATGAGTTCAGCTAAGTTGAAAAGTGGTCTTCAGCAATATGCACGTCGTCCCATACCATAAACGCAGTCCAGCGTTTTTAAACACCTTGATCAAAGACAATTCTGGCCTGCTTTGGGCTCATATCAAATGTGGTAGGTCGCTGCTTGAAGCTCTATGGACTCATCTGAGATAAAGTGAAGTCTTAGTGATTAAGAGGCTTCTGCGAGCTTGAGGCTGAAAGATACATCTATCGAATGTGAGACAACACTAGGTGGATCCATGCTACCACGCATACTCCAATAACATTCCATATCGAACAGATCCAACCGTGCTTAGCATGAAACTAGAAAAATCGCCGTGTCAGATTGAAGTGCATCCTATCCTCAATAAGTATTGACCTTGTGTGAATTACAGGTCAGTGTGCTGGATTTCTATCGCATCTCAGCCGCCACCCTACGACTTCGAAGCCTGAACAATTTCGCTTACTGCCTATGATCGGAGAATCTGCCAAAGATCAAAGGGCTTAGAGTTTGTATGAGAAGCGAAAGTCGCAGATCTCAGTCACCACAGAAGCGGCCCAGAGGCATCATAGGAGTGCCCTGAACTCTCTGGTCAACAATACTGGCCGCAGCCATTCGTCAAGCAACTGCTGCTAGCAGAGCCAGTAGACTCCAAGTCAAGAGCGCAGTGAGAGGTGCCACAGTATGTTTCGACTTGTATTCTTATTTCAACCATATTATGCCCGTGGGCCCAAACCTGCTCCATCCTCTCCAAACTTGACTCTTATTTTTGGTACGGTGGTGGATAGACTGGTACGAGGCTTGATGACCACCACAGCGGCTGCTGTTGGCCTCGTTTGAGGTACTGTGTCTTTTTGGGTGAAATAACTATACAGTATTGGGAGTCTACCTTGATATTCACCAATCTACCACCATCCAACAACGTCCGGATTTACACGGTCTGGCATGAGTTTACTCAACTGAGGGTCTAGCGGTGTCAATCTCGAGGTTGAAAGGGGCTGTCAAGTTCAAAAAAGCCACCATATGCCAAAGTCGATGTTCTTCTCCTTGCCAGGTGCAGCAGCAGCAGCAGCTGTGCGAGCATGGCTGGCGAAAGGGGCTGGCGGGGGTTGAAGTCGCCGGAGAACTTTCTCATAACAAAACCACTATGAGAAGTTATTTATACGGACAGAAGTGACAAGATGGGAATATTGAGAACGATCATCATACACATGCAGTCAACTCCGCGTTTGACCGGTGTCAACCCCAGTGCTATACGCTGATAGTTGGAAATCCAAGTGGATAGTGCTAAGTTAAGAGGCTTGTGGCGGTGGCATTTAACCCATAGGGTGGGTGGCAGTACGAAAAGCTCTGGCGAGGATGGAGTTAGGGGGAGGGGCACGGGTCACGTGAAAGGTACCGAGCGGGTACAATCCTCCATAGTTTCAGGGGAAATCTCCATCACAGTAAAAAGGACGGAGCAATAATGAAACTAAAATAATAATACTCACCAACCAGATGGTCGAGAGTTACTAGTGGCCAAGAGCAACAGGACTATTTGCCCACCTCAGTAACTACCGGTACCGGTGCAGACGGGACTACGGACTAGACCTAAGCTAAACTTATCCGATTCAACAGTGCACTTCCACCCTCCTTGAAGACCAAGTGACTCCTCCTCTTGCTTGCTATGGACTTGGATGAATGGATGAATATCCAGCCCACCCTGGGAGAATCTTGCATGCACCACCACCAATAACCAATACCAGGAATCCACACGCAGAGAGGGTCTTTGCATCAGATCGCCTCTTGGACCCCCTCCCAGCGCCAGCCATCGTCATTCCGCCGATCGTGCTGTGTGCCCCTGTCAACTACTTAATTGTAACCAGGTTATGAGCACTCACTAACTTACCTACTCTGTCTCTGATAACTCAAAAGTGGTCCTTCCCCCCTCCTTCCTGGCTTATAGTTGGTAGAGACAGCAAGCGCTTGCAATCTGACCGACTATTCTATGTGTTAATTTAAACTCAGTCTCACTTACCGTCTGTGTCCATAGCACTCTCCCGTTGGAGAAATTCTTTTGTTCTTCGCCTCTTCTTCCACTCCTCTTTTCTCCTCCTAATCTCCCCCTCCCCCCCATAATTTAAGGCGTAAGGCCCACCCCGTCCGTGCTATCATATCCACTTCCAACACCCCCTGTTCCGCTAAAGACGCGCGCGCTCCCAAATAACTCCCCTCTGAGCCTCTCAGCCTGTTGCGTTTCGCATACTCCTTTTTTCCTCACTTCTCCCGCCATACCGACCTTCCAGTTGCCACAGTTTTCTCGTATCCCGCTCTTCCCCAACGCCCAACGGATCAACCGATCACTCTTATCACAACCATCAAAAATGTCATCGGACTCGGAGCAAGAATGGAAGCCCAGCGGTCGCCCTCAGTCGTTCGTACTCCTTTGCGCTCCTCCCCTCCGTTCTTAGATGTGGGCGTTGACCAAGACATGGCAGGACCATGGCACAGGCCTTTTCAACCGCGCTGGATAGCGCCTTCTCTCTGGACACCGATGTCAATCATCTCTCACAGACCATCGACCAAAAGTAGGTTCCACTCCCACTCTCCTCGAATATTCATCTTGAGACCCATTCTGGGCCGGGCCTTTGTTGGCAGGTCACCAGACGATCGCATGAGCTGATAGAGCAACTTTACCAGGAAGCTGCAGATGATGATCCAGACCCGCGAACTCGAACAACTTCAAGCCAAGATTCGCGAAGCCGAAGAACGCCTCAAAGCTCGACAGTCGGTGATTATGGAGGCCAGAAACCCTGCGGCGCAAAGAGACGGTCGGTTCTACGGAGGCTCAGGTAAATCGAGTTTCGCCGTTTGATCTCGCCGATAACAACATCGCTAACAGCCATCGTTGCTGATCAGGAAACACATCAGCGTCGTCGTCGCCCACCGATTCAGCACAATACTCCAGCGGTGATGAACAGCTGCGACGCAGCCAAGGCCGCAGTTCATAACGGCATGTAGGCGGGCCAGCGTTGGCACATTAGCATATAATCTGGGTTATGGTTTCAAGGACAGGAGAATTTGATGGGCTTCGACTTCACTGCTACAATATTTTATATATCCTTATCAGGCGAGCATGTTTGGGAGAAATCGGTTTTTGTTTTTTTTTTTTTTTTTTTTTTTTTCTCTCCTTCTTCAATTCTCATCCTTTGCCTTTCTGTTTGTTTGCACCGGTCATCGTGTTCCCACACTCGCGCATACCTCATCGCATGGGAGGATCGAGCAGATGTCGGTGCACAGCTTTTGTTGCTCGAGTCTTTTTCGCGCTGGGTAGCGTCGGTGGCCGAGTTGAGCGTGCATGCCACGATCCCACGGGTCTAGTGGGTGAAGGGGTGTTTTGTCATTCTTCTGTGGCGTAACATGTTCCATTATCATATTCTGATATTCAAGAAGTGGATTATTTCATGAGCGGGTTGTTTCTTGAACATTTCGAGTGTTTTGTGGAGATGAAATGAGAGTGAAGAAGACGCTGCGGGCTGCTGTGTTTGTCTTAGGGTAACGCACTAAGTCGCCCCCTCGATGGGCTATTTTTAGCCCGACTGTTTGTTGCACAGCATCCGATCGATTGATCCCTCAGGGAATGTGAGTCCAGAAAGGATCTCTTCCTCTGTGCCCAAATTATCTGTGCTTTGCTGTGCAGTGCTGGATGAGCAGTCAATGGAAGAGAAGAATCCTCCTCGAGTGGCTCATGTCAATGTCGATCGAGTGCCGTGCCCGACCCGACCGACAGTGCCGATCCATCCATCTCCTACCGCGACAGGAGCGCTTGACAGAAGTATTTCTCTGCTAGATGTGAATGGGTCGTTTTCCAACGGCCCTAATATTGCTCGATGGTGCCTCATCGCCCTAATTCGGTTCTATGTTGCCAAGGTCACGATTGATGGGCAGAAATGCCTTTCTTTTCGTGCGGATATTCTTCCCAACGGCGTTCCGTTGATCGTCACGGCTAGCTTTGAAATCGTCCGGGCCGTGATTGCAATGGAGAGAACGGAGCACTCAGGACCGATCCACGGAGTGTCAGTCAGACCCGACAAGAAAAGATCTTGATCGTTTGCCGGTGATTTTGAGACTGGCAGCCTGGTCGAGTCATTCTCATGAGGGGTTTATCTACTCTCAACTTCGGCAATATGCTGTTGAGTCTGCTAACCGCAAATGGCGAATCCTGTTCGTATTGATAATAACTAATGCTGAGTAGATGGTGAGTGTAACTCTGGACGGAGCAATGCAGAGTCAATCTCATCAATCTCATCAATCTTTTTTTTTTCATCACACTTCTCAATTTGCATTCTTCTGTGGAATTCTGGTGCACGCCCCTGATGGCGATGATGTCAGTGCTGCTCTGCCCCAACCAGGGAAAACGCGGGCGAAACCCCAGAAAAGCGCCAAAGAGGCGTCCGAGCGAGGGTCCAGACCATAGCAAGCAGACTCTGCTATCGCCAGTCTCGTATCACCGAATCCATTGGCTCCTTCACTCGCCTCTCATGCTCTGTGTTGTCGTGCAGCATGAATGATAGCTACCTACTCTGTAGTTAGTCGGTACCGTAGTCTAGTTAATTAATATCAGGTTCAGCTAGTCTTCTAGCTCGTTGAGCTCCCGGAAGGATTCCCTGTTTCTTTGGTTGTGTTGCTGCCCCTCCCCTCATCATCTTCCTTTCTCTCGCTCTCTCTCTTTCTACCCTAGACTAACTAACTTACTTACTCCGACTCCGTCATCTTTTCTCCTCGTTCCCCTTCCCCTCACCTGTTCCTCCTTCTTTCGTCTTCTTTTCCTTTTTCTTTTCTCTCTCCATCTCACTCTCTCCTTCGTTGTTCGTAACTGTCATTCTCCCTCCCGTGGTAGATTCTCTTATCTACTACCCGAAGGGCGTTCGATCGGCGTCACCATGGTCCTCATCGACAAGCATTCGTACGAATCCCGCGAGGAGCAACGACTCAAGGAAGATCGCGAGCGAACTCGCTACTGGAAACGCTGGGGTCCCTACGTCGCTGAGAGACAATGGGCTACTGGTATGCTCTTTCCTTCTATCTGGAGGCTGGGAGATTTCACATGAACTGACGCAATGACCTCATTTCTCCTGCCGCCCCGCAGTTCGCGAAGATTACTCGTAAGCGTTACTCTTTCGTGCATTTCGCTGCAAGATGCATCAATGGCATCAGTTGAACCATCGCTGACGGAATATCTTTTTTTCTACACTTTCAGTGAGAATGGAGATGCTTGGAGCTGTAAGTTGCGCTCCTATGCTGATTATACCACTCATGACTGATCGCTCTCATCCGCTGTAGACTTTTCCCACGACCATGCGCGGTCCCGAACTTACCGCTGGGGTGAGGACGGTATCGCCGGTGTGTCCGATACCCACAGCTTGCAAAACATCGCTTTTGCTTTTTGGAACGGCAAAGAGTATGTGGGGTCCGGTCCACGTCTGTAGTAAACTTCGCTCACCTTTGATTTTAGCGACTTCTTGAAGGAGCGTCTGTTCGGTTTGTCCAATCCCCAGGGAAACCACGGCGAGAGTGTCAAGGAGGCCCATTTCCACCTCGATAACACTCCGACAGTAAGACCCTTCTAGTTCCACGGCGTGGATTTGACTTCGGTCTGGTTTCTAATCCGACCACGCGCATAGCACTCTTACATGAAATTCCTCTACAAGTACCCCCAGAAGAAGTTCCCCTACCAGGAGCTTGCTGAGGAGAACGCACGACGCGGTAAAAGTGACCGCGAGTACCAGATCCTCGATACTGATGCCTTCGATGAGAACCGTTACTGGGATATCTTCATTGAGACTGCGAAAGAGGACGACGATGAGGAAGAACTCTTGTTCCGCATTATCGCCTACAATCGAGGCCCTGAGCCAGCACACTTGCACATCATCCCGCATGTGTGGTTCCGCAACACCTGGTCATGGGGGTATGAGGAGAAGAACGAGAAGCCGTCCGTGGAGAAAGCTTATCCTCTGATCGCGAAGACCAAACACCACAAACTCGGCGAGCGCTATGTCCGGTTCTCTCCTTCTCCGTCTGTGACTGGGGAGGAAGATGTGGTTCCTAAGCTGCTGTTCACCGAGAACGAGACCAATAACGAATTTCTTTGGAACACCAAGAATGATCAGCCCTACGTCAAGGACGCCTTTCATCGTCACATTATCAACGGTGAGAAGGGTGCAGTCAATCCCGATAACAAGGGTACCAAGTTTGCCGCCTGGTATGCCTTTGATGAGGGCGAGGGTGTTCCTCCCGGCGAATGCGTGGTCGTTCGTTTCCGGTTCTCTCGGCGCCTGGAACCGTTCATCGACGAAGAAGTGCTGGATGATGTGATCGACCAGCGCAGAAATGAGGCCGATGACTTTTACTACCATATCAGTCCTTTGCCCATGAGCGATGACTTGCGGAACATTCAGCGGCAAGCTTTCTCCGGAATGATGTGGAACAAGCAGTTTTACCATTTCGTCTGGGACCAGTGGGCTAATGGCGATCCTGCGATGATCCCACCTCCTCCCGGTAGGAAGCACGTTCGAAACCAACAGTGGAAACACTTGTACATGGAGGATATCCTTTCGATGCCCGATTCGTGGGAATACCCATTCTTCGCTGCGTGGGATACTGCGTTCCACTGCATTCCACTTGCAATGATCGACCCGGAATTTGCGAAAAAGCAGCTGGACATCCTCACTCGCGAGTGGTACATGCATCCCAACGGTCAGCTGGCAGCCTACGAGTGGAACTTTGGTGATGTGAACCCTCCTGTTCATGCTTGGGCTACGTTCCGAGTCTTCAAGATTGAGCGTAAGATGTATGGACGGCAGGACCTTGATTTCTTGGAGCGGGTGTTCCAGAAGCTGTTGCTAAACTTCACATGGTGGGTCAACCGAAAGGATTCAGACGGTAAGAACGTCTTTGAGGGCGGCTTTTTGGGGCTGGACAACATCGGCCTCTTCAACCGCTCCGAGCCTCTCCCCACCGGCGGTGTGCTGGAGCAGGCCGATAGCACAGGGTGGATGGCCTTCTACTGCTTGTGCATGTTGAACATCGCGTTGGAGCTGGCCAAGCATCGGAGAATTTACGAAGACAGTGAGTGATCTCACTCTCTATATTGAGCTACTTATGTGCTGATAGAGGTCTAGTTGCCTCCAAATTCTTCGAGCACTTCATTCTGATTAGTGATGCCATGACTTTCCGGTCAGGAGGTCAGGAATCGTCCCTCTGGAACGAGGAAGATGGGTCAGTGGTCCGATGCCCAACAATTCGAATAATTGCTTACGATGTATAGTTTCTATTACGATGCGATCTCCTACGGTGACCCATGGACCCAGCAGCTACCTGTGCGGTCTTTGGTCGGCTTGATCCCTCTTTATGCCGTCCTCACACTTGAGCCAGAGTTGATCAACAAGTTCCCATCTTTCAAGAAGCGTTTGGAATGGTTCGTTGAGAACCGCCAAGATGTGGCCGAGCGCAACATTGCAAGCATGAAGCACCGCGGCAAAGACGAGCGACTTCTTCTAGCGTTGGTGAGCAAGGACCGCCTGGAGAAAATTCTCAAGCGCATGCTGGACGAGACCGAGTTTCTGTCGGAGCACGGCATTCGATCGATGTCCAAGTATCATGGAGAACACCCCTATTCGATGGATGTCAACGGTCAGACATTCCGAGTCAGCTATGTTCCAGGAGACTCCGACAGTGGGCTGTTCGGAGGTAACAGCAACTGGCGCGGGCCGATCTGGTTGTGTGTCAACTTCCTGCTCATCGAGTCTTTGCTACGCTTCTACATGTTCTATGGCGATTCGTTCAAGATCGAGTGTCCCACAGGCTCCGGCGAGTACATGCATCTCGGACACATTGCCGAAGAGATTCAGCACCGGCTGCAGCACCTGTTCGCCCGCAACGACGAAGGCCGCCGGGCGGTACACAACGGATCCGACCTCCTCGACTTTGACGAGCACTGGAAGGACTATATGTGGTTCCATGAGTTCTTCGACGGAGACACCGGCCGTGGTCTTGGAGCGTCTCACCAGTGCGGATGGACTGGACTCATTGCCAAGGTCATCCACGATACAGGGTTTGTCACACGTCATATTTCTGTCTGTCTATTGTTCCTGGCTAACAGTGCTATTAGTATCAACTGCCGTCTCCCACAAACCCCCCGCACTCCCCACGCAGCAGCCTCGCACTACTTCGACGACGTCTTCACTCGATTCTCTCGCCCACGCGGCAGCCGTCGTCCCAGCGTTCGCCGCTCTTCCACGACCCGCTCAATCGGCAACCGCAGCGACTTCGAGTCCACTCTCTCTGGACGCGAGACCCCGGCTCCTGAGACTGCCCTCGACGAGGACGACAACAACCGGAAAGTCGACACCGACCTCCAAAACGAGCATGTTCACAAATATGTGGAGAGTCAGCTGCAGCGCGTAAGAAGCCAAGCTTCGATTGGAGCGTACGAGGATGAATTTGAGGCGCAGGCAGACCGCGCCCCCAACGGGCATTGAATTTTATGGAAAGATGACATTTGAATGAGAGAGAGATGAAGTCGACGTGGACTGGAATCTAGTACAAAGTTAGACAGATGTTTATTTCCGAATGTGTGTTAGATGGGTAGTGATGTTGTTGATTTTAAAGCGGTGATCATTTCGAAAGCATGAAGGAAGATTGTCTTTTTATGTTTTTTTTCTTTTTTTCCCCTTTCCAAGCTGAACTGCTGCATATGCAATGAAGCTATGACCCCTCATTCGGACTGCTTGCTGTGAATATACATTCATCGCCTGTATTGTTCCGTGGCTTGTTTCTCGTCATTCTCTGGCTTATTGTAGGGTTTACAATAGCTCTAACCAACACCTTGACCTCTACTTCAATGTCTACCATCTGATAATATAATATCACCAACCGAACCACCCCCGAGCCCGAAATCGTCCAGCCTCGGCGGGATCCTCACAAGAGAGTCAAATGCATTATATCTATGTAGAACCAACCCCCGCTTAACTTCAACAAAAAAACCCAAGAAACCAAGAAACCAAGATTCGAGCACGCAAACCAGCTACACATGTTTACCTTAGACTAGTGGTCAAACCCCAAAGTCCCGTTCTTCAACCCAAGAGCAGGGGCCTCGCTGACTATATAGCTGTACTACATCCTGTACAGTAAAGTACATTGAAGACGCGGACCATCCGCAGCCAGCGATTCTGCAATACCTCCTCCGGATTACTTGCCCCCGGATCGGATCCTCCCCTCCCTGCCAGCTATACACATGTACTACTGTGTAATGGTGCAAGTATGTCTCATCTCTGACTTCACCAACATCCTTCCAGCATCGGAAGACTGATGCAATTGGTTAAGCCTCCTGATATCGAAGTAGACTCCACAATTGCATCTACATACATCTACACCTCAACATCATACTCCACCATCGTCGGGTGCACACCTCTTACTTTCTGGTATACATTTCACACCTACATCTACAGCAAATCAACACCTCCAGAACCAAAGCCAAACCCCACTACTAACCGATCATCCCCCCTCTACTCTCCCCCTCGAAAAAAAAGTTCAAAGAAAAGTAGCGTAATTGAGGTTTAGGATACATTTATATGATGGATAAAGGAGAAGTGAGACAATAGAGGGGGTGTGTGTGAGCGGGTGGGGTGGGGGATGAGGGAGTATAGTTATACTGATGGAAGAGACCGTTTCATTGCTTCCATCAACAAACATAATTTATTTTCTTTTTGCCGGAAAAAAAAAGCAAAAGAAATTTACAGAGCATCGGTGAGGGCCTTGTTGAGCTTAGCGATCTTGGAGGAAACGCTGAGGTCAATGGTGCGGTCACCGATTTCGACGACGAGGCCGCCGAGGAGGTCGGGGTTGACCTGTTTCCGTTGTTAGTCAGGTGTCCGTTTTTAGGTAGAGCTTTTATTGTCGAGATTGAAGATACGGGGAAGGGCTCACCTTGGAGACAACCTTGAGCTTCTTGCCCTGGCTGAACTCGGACTTGGAGACGGCCTTCTCGAGACGGTTGAGGGTCTTGGTGTCGAGCTCCTGTTCGGTTTTGTGTGAGTAAAGTGCCTTATGGAATTGTTCCAGGAAGTAAGGGCAACCTACCTGAGCACTGGTGATGCTCAGCTCGACCTCACCACGGTGGGCGCCCATGAGGGTCGCGAACTTCTCGCAGACGCCCTCCAGCAGACCCAGGCGGTTGTTCTCGGCCAGGGTGGCCAAGAAGTTCTTGATGATCTCGGCCTTGTCGGCGCCGCCGGCCACCTTCTGCAGCTCGGCGATGATCTGCTGCTTGTCGGAGACGGTGAGGGTCGGGGCGTTCAGGATCTCGATCAGCTTGCGGTCGGCCTTGAGGGTCTGGCTCAGGTTGCCCAGGGCCTTGGCGGTCTGCTCCAGAGCGGCGGACTTGGCCGAGGCGGTGTACTATAAGCAGCAATGAAAAAGATTTGAGTTAGCCGGATATATCGCTTTCTATTTCCTTCGAGGGGGAGGCTTTTTCTGTGGATGGTTTGAACAAGGGCTGGTGTTGGTGCGCCCAATTGTTGCTGGTGTCTTGTGTGCCCTTGCTCGCTTTCCGTCTCGTCTCAGTTCGAGTTGTTGTATAGGTCTGGTTGTGGTATCTTCCCATGGTGTAGGAAAGCTGATCTTGCGTTTGAATGGAGAGACAAGACGGATTGGAGCAGCCCGCGCGCGCACACCCATTGGACCGAGTGCGGAGGGAAGACACCACAGCAACGAATTGAACCACCACCCCAGGAAGAACCGTGCTGAGTGTGATGTGTGCATACCAGAGCAGTGGCATAGGTGCCGTCAACGCCGAACAGAGACACCGGGGGCTTGACCTCCTGGGCCGGGGTGGCATAGGTGCGAAGACCGTTGAGAGCGGCAGTGCGAGGCACGGTGAACTGCTGGGCGGAGGCACGGAGGCCGACGCGGGCGAGACGAACGGAGAACATGGTGATCGGTGGGAAGGAGGACCTGGGCGAACCGGGGGAGTGGAGGGGGAGGAGATGCGAGAAGACGTCTGTGTTCGTCGATGGAGACTGACTGACTTGCGTTTGGTGATGGCGTCTCGAGGTTCGGGGCCAGGTTCAGTTCCTGCCGGCTAGGGCGGTCACGTGAGTTCCCGCACACGCCGGGTTTTCGGCTATTCTTCTTTCCCTCTCGTACTACTCATAACTACACCAGACAAAAGAGATACTGCTTACTGCTTACTGCTTTCATTCGCATACAAACATCGAACAGCGGCAACTGCAATGCCCATCAACTCAATACCTTCATCAAGAACGAAACAAAAACGCCGGACGGCCTCTACGACCTTCTTTAAATGTTCCCTTTTACGAATGCCTCCACGCCCAAACGCCCTAGTCCCGTCATCCTTCATCCTCTCGTGTGTTCGCCTGTCAGCCGCAAATCAGTCACTCCGCAGCATACTATCCACCAGGTCGCCCAGAGGCCCCCAGAAATCCTTCCCGCTTGCCAAGCGATGCTCGTCGATGAACAGCACGTAGTGTTTGAAGCTGGTGTTCAGGTGGGGTTCCAGGCCGAGATGCACCACCACGGGATAGTGGTGGCAGTAAATGTGCGCATACACTCGGTACATACGCTTGTAGATCTGTCGCACCAGACTGGGGAACGCTTTGGGGAAGGGAACACCTGCAGTTATCAAATGTTAGCACCGGCCACCACCACCAATGTTATAGCTTGTAGAGTGCTGTAGCGGCTGTAGCCAGAACCGGGTGAACCCATCCGCCCCCCGTTGGGGCATCACGTACCGAGCCTGCTGGGGAAGATCTGTTCGTTATCGACGCTGCTTTGCACCCAGCTCATCAGATGTTCGATATACTCGGGCGCAGACATCTTCGTCGGGCGCTTGAAGTTCTCCGAGTCCTGCCAGAGGTACTCGAACCTGGTTCACGAATCCTTGTCAGCTCTGAGGGACATATATACCACCTGGGAAACTCGGATTTCGCATACTCATCGGTCGCTTTCATCTCCGGACATGATTGAGGCGAGCAGAACTCTGTGATCGCGCCGTACAGTAGGTTGATCTGATTGTAGAAGTCGACAACTGCGGGGACGAAGGTAACAACATAGATGGATCAGCACGTGGACAACACGCTTGTGGCATACACATTCGGCGTTCAGTTGATTTGTTACAAAAACACACCATTCACGGCCAACCATTCATTCAAGTCCTCGCCCTCGGGCAGTTTCACGGCCTTGCGCAGACTGCCGCTGCCGAGCGTCGCTTCCGCAAATTGTCTCAGTTGGTAGCTGGTGGTGCCTTTGGCTGCCGACCGCGGCTTGAAGGGCGCGCGAGTGCGAGCATTGCTGGGAGGTGTCAGTCCACAGGGATCATTTTTCAGCGCGAACACCGCCGGTGACAAGTAAGAGGGGGGTTCAGAGAGAGGAGCGCGGGAAGTATGGACGGTGTTGTGGTAGACTGAAGGGACGAGAGGGAGGGGAGGGAGAGGGCGCCGGGAAGAGGTCGGAGTCGGCGGGGCAGCAAATGAAGAGGAAGAAGAAGAGGAGGAGGAATTGGTGGTGACGGGGACAGACATTGTGGTGATGAAAGATGCCATCTCGCTTTCGCGTGAGGAAAGGGCTCTCTCTTTTGACTAGATAAGAACAGCGAACGGGTCGCCTGTCGAAGGCCGCGGGCTGCCTGGAATTGTTTCCTTCAGCGGCGGGGGCGGAGGATCGAGTGCGTGGTGGGAGGAGAATGCGCCTACATTCCGATGCCAGACAGTCAAGCAATCCGTCAGTCCATCTGGGCGCGCACAGGCATCGAGAGGGGGGTTACTCACTGGCTCGGCCAAGAGTCCCGGGTCTGGAGCGCCAATAGTCCCTCAAGGGCGCGTCGAAGACGAGATTATAGGCGTGTGTTTTAGTTAGTGTCAAGTGGGCGACGATGGGGGGGCAGGAGGAATGGAGAAGAGAAACAAAAAGAGAAGTAGAAAGAAGGAGAAGAAGGATGGGATCAGCGATCGATTCGGGCCCGACCAGATCGGATGAGGCGCAAACACCAGGAACTAATCAATGTCGCACAAGTTAATATAAATTGGCTGCAGGGGAATGCATCTACTACTACCACCCTCTAGTCTATACAACAATATCTATAGACTACTGCTCCTATCTAGACTAGACCAACTTAAGTACGTACCGACTCTTGAATTGCTCCACGCTTCCCACCCACAGAACCATGGATGATGCAGTCTTCCAACTCCCAAGTCGTCCAACGCCCCGTCCGTTGCCCCGGTGACCCCGTCGCGCCGCAAGGAAATGGAGGCTTATTAGTTAGAACATCCCAGAGGAAATTCTTCTGGCTGGCATGCCCCAAACCACTAGTCTCTCATTACGTCGTTTCAGTCTAGCGCAGCCAAGGGATGGACTAACTTAGACTGCAAGGAACCTGGTTATGTCCTAGACTCTATGCGACGTCATATAATCCAGAAATCGCTTATCTTCTTGACGTCTCGTAATTGTAGTAGGATATACATCATTCGAATATAGCTTATTTCAAATAGCGTATCCTTCGTTTTCTTCTGGCAGCCGCTCCCTGACTGTCTCGCCATAAATCGTGATCGGGATTGCGATCTCAAATGACTCGCACCCGATGGTTTCCAAAGCTGACATGACCCGTTCGCGTTCGTCTTCAGATACGGCCTCCAACAATCGCGAACCCGATGGCGCTGACCCGTCATGAGCATTACTGGTAACGAACTCGAATCGGAGTTCCCATTCATGATTGACTCCAGTGGTGAGAATCGTAGGTGTCGCAGAGACAGGGATTGCTGGACTGAAGACCACGCGGGTTGCGTAGAGCGTGTTCTCAAAATACGAGGCATGGACCTTGCGAGTTGCACGACGGATGCTCGCGTTCGACCGGATAGCCAGAGCCGGGGCAACCCGCTCGGAGCTCTCAAGGGTGGCACGCAGAGCGTAGCAAGGAAGTGCGGCATCGGCGAAGTTCACGGTGGCTATAATCGTCTCGCCTAGTCGGTGAGACGGGCGATTAAGAACAACAACGGCGATTCGGCGTCCATTGCGGGCGATCTCGAACCGATTGGGGCTACGAGATGAGTGAAGCGCTTGATTGCTTCGAAGGATGGCGAGGTCAATGGCATCCTTGCAGGATAGTCGCCCGGTCGCCGATTCGTGACTTGCTCGATGTTCCGCAGAAGCTTCGGGTGGGTGCAGCGAGTTGTTTCGGGAGGCTTTTTCAAGGATGTCATCCACGTATGACAGGAATTCTGGGGCCGACGTCCACGTAGGGCCACTAATGCTTTTGGGCTTCACTACTGGGGCTGGGTTCGTTCCGACCTTTTGTACCCTAGCTTCATCTCGGAGCAGCACATAGGGGCTCATCAGATCATGGCCCATGATATCTCCCTGGCCTGTAAGAGGAATTAATCACTTTGTTCTTAGTTGGCTCGAGCCCAACACTTACCATTGACTCCGCTGAACACACGGAAAGGTATGCTAATGCGGTTCACCCGCTGCGGCTCGTTACGACTACTCGGCCGTTGTGTGCCGATGACCAGATTGTAGGATATCTTGATCGCTTTTCCCTTGTGGCTAGCTGGTAAGCCACTTGGAAGAGTGAAAGAGAACGAATACGACTGCTCCTCCCCAGGTGCCAGGCGCAAGTCTACGAAGAGAAGCGACTGCGTTGTGGAAAGTAGTGGTATCGATCGAGACGACGAGACGCCTCGCATGTCTCGTAAGCCATCCAGTTCGTTGTTGGAGAGAAGGCCACTCAAAGACTCCTCAATTGCATTCCATTTGAACGCGCCCCAGAAGCCGCCGCTTTTGCGACTCTTCTCTTCGCTCGCAGCTGGTTTCCCACTTGGCGGACCAACTGCGCCCCCTGCTCCTCCGACAACACCTTTCCGCTTGACTTCCTCAAAGATAGATTGGTGGATCAGAGAGCCATCCACCGTAAATGAAGCGCTGATCTGTGCGTAGCCCATAAGCAGTGTCTGACTGTGAGGCGAAAGCCCCGGGGATTCCACACTTGACACATGTCGTGAGTGGCGGGATACAATAGGCGGGCGCGGCACTGTCATGGAATAGTTTGTATACTCGGACTGGAGAGTCTCTGAGGAATTGTCGCTGATCGAGTTGTAATCTCCACTACTTCGGTGACTTCCAGCCAGGCTGGAAGTTGACATGATTCTCGTTAGCTGCGGCAAGTGTCCCGGTGCCGCTAAAGCCGTCATTTCCTTCCCATTGGGTCTGGGTGCTGTGGGATTCTCTTCAATCGGCGATGTTAATGTTGAAACGCCTATATGGCTGTTGGTGTCGGCAGCTGGGGACGGCGGAAATTTGAAATCTATCGGTGACAATGGAGGCCGACGCGCAGGGGTACGAGGTGGCTCAATTGATCGATTAGGACTGTAGATATTTGAGCCAGGGCGGCTGGTGTCATTCGGGCCATCGATGTCGATTCTGGGGTTCCCGGGAGATGAATGAAATGAGGACTCCGTAGGTGGGAAGCTGCGAACGGGACTGCGCCCACCTATAAATGCAAGATTTTTAGCATTCAACCCGTGATCTCTGACACGCTATCAAGTACCTATTGCGGACTGATCCTCATATGCTTCATGTCTCCTTGGCAGGACCTGTAAACTTGCCGCGCGCCCATGACGCCTTAGTGGTCGGGGGTGGCTGAATTGTGATGATGTCCGGGGTGTCGGCTCTCCGGTTCCTTCACTATCAATGGAGAGTATAGAGACCGATCGTTTATGCTTGCCACTGGCAACTGAGCCATTGCGAGGAGTAGACGGAGGAGGGAAGCTGTGCGAACCGATCAACGGCGAGCTCACCGAGGATGAAAGGCGGTGCGACGGGCTTTTCTTAGCTGCTGTGGAGTACGAGCGACGATGCGGACTGAAGAAAAATTTCTGAGGTGATTTCAGCGAGAATAATGATTCGGAGTGGGTGCTTGTAGCTCGCGAAGGTTGTCTGTGGTGTGAGGTCGGACCCCCGAAATGGGGTTCCACGTTCGTCTCCGCAACGTTCTTGAAGGTAATAGTGCATTCCACATCTTCCCCCGCAAATATTGTCTGGTCTTTCCACTTCACAAAGACTTGGATGTCTGATGGCATGGCGGCGATTGGAATGCTCCCATGTGGTTTTGGGTGAGCGCGCGCATGTAAAACCAGAAGGAGGAAGCTCGGGGTAGTTCAGTTGGTTGGTGGGTACCAGCCGCCACCTTGAAGGAAAGACAACCTTAAACCAACGCGCCAGGAGGTATATATCACAGTCAAGAAATGATCTGATGTTTGCCAGCTAGGGCATGGCGTCAAATGGCGAAGGACATAATGGTGGAAGGAGGATTAGGAGAGCCGAAAGGAAGCGGGTGAACGTAGCCTAGCGATTCAGTCCGCTCCATAACGTTCCTGGCGGCGGCGGCAGCGGAGGAGAGGATGGGTTTACTAGTCTAGCCGAGACCCTTAATAAGTGCATACATCAAATGCAATTTACAACCAGATAAGCAGAACCCAACTAAGCGCGTAAGACGTCTACTGTCATGTGGGGTTCCTGATCCAATACTGTTCCCTGCTTGTTTAGAGCTTTGATCACTACGAGCAAGTGCGCTAGGACAGATGATATTGCCTTCGATTTAGAGATAGGAAGAAGTGAATTAACGCCAACCCATACAACGCCACCGTCCCGGCTCGTCAATGTACATCATGCAATGGTATTATACAGTGTTTGTGCTGTGTTTGTGCTCCTGCAAGCCATAGCGACGTCGTCTATACCTTGTCTTCATCGCCCTTAGCCTCGTAAAAGAGGACCTGCGAGTCTTGAATTTTTTCCGTATCCTTGGTAGGTGGTCGTAAGCCGAGCTCAGTCATGTGAGCCCAGATGCGATCGTGTCGTCTCTCCCATCGCTTCCGGCGATCCTCCATTTCTTTGTCTGATGCCCGCCATTTGCTCTTCAGAATACGTCTAATCGCCTCTGGCGAGACCTTGAACTGCTCGGCGAGAACAGGTGTGGTGAATTTATCTGGTGCCACCTGATGCAAGTGTCGGATTCCCTCTATCGCATCGGGAGAAAGCTTCTTAGGAGGATTCCATCCTTCCTTGAACTTCTCTTTCAGAGCAGCCTTCTGGGTTTGCCAGTGCTCTTTTTTCTTCGGCGGGCCAGTATTTTTGATGGCATCCCTCCAAGTTTTTGGCTTCCCTTCCGAGGGCTTCATTTTCGATCGATCGCCGCGTGAATCGGGTTTGCTGCGAAAGCCTTTAGCTCTCTCTCTACCAGCACCTGTGGCATCCGTTCGTTTTGTAAAAGGAACCCGGTTAGTCTCAGATGAGGATTCTGAGGTTTGTACGACGGTATCTGTCGAGTTGTCGCCACGTTCGTTCTTTGCCGGTGTGACTGTTTCTATCTTGTTCGTCGCATCCGGAGAATTTTCGAAGGTATCACTGGACGACAACAATGAATGAGAATTATGTATCTGGATTTGATGAGTGGAGCTGAAACTGCGTTGAGCGCCAGGCTTGCGATAGGCAAGAGGCGTTATCGGGAACAAGCTTCGACGTTGATAAACTCGACAGGTAGAGCGAGCAAGATCTGATTGAAAAGCTTCATGCAGCAGAGATGACAGGTGCATTCGTGCTGAAGCAGCCCCTGAATGCCACATGATGATGCGCTGGCTTGTGGAAGATGTCGGAGGCAAACGCTACCAGAAAAAAGAAGTATCGCGCTGATAAAATCCCGCGGGAGACTTCTAGAAACGGGGCTAGAACAATTTACCGCTTCCCCCAGTAGTCATGTGACTGGCCGACATACAACCGCTCAGTCAACTGTTGATCTTCCACTATCCAATCCACTATCATCTACGATGTCGGCAGACGGAATCGCCAGGAGATTCTCGACATTCTCATTGCTCCTGTTCTATCTGAAACTCGCTCACCGCTAGTTAATTCATGATGGCTTACTCACCAGTGAAGAGTAAAGAATCTGTGAGATGCGCGAATCAGCAGCCCCCTTGATTCGGCGCGAAGTCCATACTCTTGTCAGTGGTCCTAAGGACAACAAAGACTG